TTCCAATTCCACTGAAATGGAAAATAAAGTTGGTCTGAATTGCATGCATGTCTCCTAGAGCCATTTGAATCAAAAGGTCAGCTCCCTCTCTCTTGTCTGGAGCTCTGAAATCGGAGGTGACTATGATCCTACCAACCAATTTTTCGTGGACAAAGCTAGCTAACAGTCCCAGGGCTGTTTACAGTAAAATGAGTGAGGAGAGGCTCAAAAGGGTGAGTAAGGGCAAGGTGAATTCATTCCTTTCTTCTGAAAAGACGCGTCAGAAATGATCTTAAAGTTTTACCTGAAATGCTCTCCCAGAGCATCAAGTCTGGGCCAAAACCCAAGGGCATGATGAGTCTTGGCTTCCCATGCAGGACAGAATTGCTCTACAGATGCCTTATTAACGATATCTTCTCATAAGCTGGTGGTGACCAAGGGCTCATCTACACACTTCAATTGGCTGCTAAGAAAATGTCGAGGTAATACTCTAGATCCAAACCAGGCCTCAGTATTAACCAGTTAAGCGAGATCCATGCTGAACACATTCATGGTACACGACTAATTGCACGTTTGCTCTGTCTAGATGGACAAAGCCAAAGTGTGTAACATCTCCCCTGCACACAGCAGGTAGGACTCCAGAAAAGGTGTCAAGCCGCATCCACTCCCCACTCCCACTGTCTTTCAGGGAAAGCTCTGCCTCAAAACACCACTATTATTAAACAGGAGGAGGTAGCATTATTCTCAGCCTCCGGTGCTGTGTCTTGGTAAAACAGAAATAATCCCAGTCTGACTGCGGTGATCAATCACCCAGTTCAATCACCATCTCAGGTGATCAGGCAACCTGATCTAGTGGAGTAAACCCAGGACTGAAAGCCAGGAATTCCTGAATTGTAATCTGTCAGGTGTCCAGGTTGTAGCCGTATCGGTCTAGAGGCAAAAGGAATCAGAACTCACGGTAGAGGCGGTATCTTTTAATAGACCAACTAGACCTTTGCAAAAAAATGTCTTTAATTGCAAGCTTTCAGGCACAAGCACCCTTCTTCAGGCATGGGAGAAAAGACTGTAATCTGAACTGTAATCTGTCACCGATTCTCTGTCCAGCTGTAGACAAATCACTTAACTTGTTTGCACCACTTTTTGTTTCTGTAAAACAGCAGTAATATTTTTACCCACCACCATTGGTTTAAAATGATCTCTGCACAAGCCTTTGACAATAGATTGCAATTCACTATTCCCCCAATGCCTCTATTTCATATTAGGCCTTGGGGAGAGCAAGCAGATAAAAGGACAAAGTCTCTCCGATTCTCAGGACCTGAAATTTGTACCTGCCCAATCCTGCCACTCTAATGCCCTGTTCTGTCCAGCACCCACAGCCAGAAACTCCCCACATCTACAAAGACAGAGAATTACACAACTTGCACAATTCCAGCTGCTGGGGTGTGGGCTTCTGCCACACAGTCAGACTTGGCGGCAATCTAACAAGTCCCATAATCAGGTGCCCAGAAAACAGCAAGCTTTGTTACCCAGAGTCACTGGAAAGGCAGTTGGGTACACAGTTAAATCAAAGGTGTAGGGAGTCCAGTAGGAAGCTACGAGGCTAGCAGATGACACACAAGCAAGGGGAACTATCCCTGTTGCTCTGAAGCAGCGCAAAACCCCCAGAAAACAAGGCCAAGGAGGATGTACCATCACCGCTCTACTGCCAAAATTTCAGTGGGAGTAAGGTTGTGTAGGGTGCAATAACGTTGTGTACGGTGTGGTATGTGCCTGGACTCCTACCACTCCACCAAATACTTCTATGCCACCTCCAGCAAATCCACACACAGCCTTGAAAAGATGCAAGTCTCTTCCCCCTAAACATGTGCCCCAGATACCCAGACTCCTTGTGATGCGTGACAAGTCCCAGGCTGAAAACTGCCCTCAAAACAGCTCAACCCGATGCGGCTTTCTGCAAGACGTACTCAGCATCACAGTCCTGAACAGATGCTCTAAATCACTGACAAATGGAAATGTTCCCGGGAGGGGGAAGCCAGCAAACTTCTTAGAAATGAGATCCTCCAGCCTCGTTCCCTGCTTCTTCCTCCTCCTCGCACACTAAACTTCCGTACAGGGTGTTTCTGTTCCCCAGGCTGGCATTTTCCCACCCAGTTTCATAACCAGCTCAAAGCATGCCTTGAGACATAGTAGGGCTTGAAACCGGTGCTGCTTGGAGAACAGCCAGAATCACCAGCATCTCCTCCCTCCAACAGCTTCAGTGCAGATCTCGCCAATTTAATCAGCCCTTACTCTCTGATGTAAGGATGCCTGTAGATGCCATGCACTAACTGCATGTACAAAATCAGCTAGTACAAGTTACTTAACACACAGGGTGGGTGTCAGCTGGTGGGAAACTTTTTGGCTACAGGCAGGAAAGCAATCTTGGGTCTTTCTTACGTGGCACCTTTTTTTTTTTTTGGAGATGGGGGGGGCAGAACCCAGGAGTCCCAATTCTCAGCACCCTCCTGGAATCACTAACTCTCACACAGACGAAAGGGATGTCTTTTGGGCCTAAGCGTTAAAGCTTGTTCTGCTATGATTCAAATAAAAAATGGAGAGGCTCAAGGAAGGGTATTGAAAGTTGTCTCTATCCATGTGCAGACTAGGTTAAAAGTGGTACCTTTTATTAGACTAACTAAATAGTCGGAAAAAATTGTTCTTTGCAAGCTTTTGGGCACAGGCACCCTTCTTCAGGTATAGGGAGAGACTCTGTATCCATGTGAGCATTCCCATTCATACCGGCTTGTGCAGGGATAGCACCTTTCTGTCCTAACTCTGAATTATGAGTCCAAGTCTGGAGGTCTGTTAGACTAAAATTGAGACAAGGCAGTTTCTGACAGCAGGCAAAGGCAGCCTGGAGATTTCTCAGAGCAAACACCGAGCTTTCCTTTCACCTCCGAGACTGACTGCAGAGCCTGGCATACGATTTCAATCAGCAAGTGAGAGCACTCCATTGGAGAGAGATTGATTTGTGGTAGATTTAAAATATTTAACAGGGAAAGCCGGGAATAAAAATCAAGGAAATGCAGATCTCTCCACCCCACAACAGGAAGAGGCAGCTGGTTCAGCCGCACTCTTGGCTTTACGACAGACCATAAACAGAGATGTCACCAATTGGAGAGCGGCCACTTTGACCACTATGCCGAGGGCCAGAAGGTAATTGTGACATCCTAGGTGTCCGAGAGAGCTAGGAGCACTTTTGCAGAACACACGTTTGATATGGTATCTCATCCTAGTCTCATAAACAAACTGAGTGGCTGTGACATAGATGATTACATGGCCAAGTGGCTGGCAAATTGACTTAAGGGTCGCACCCCGAGAGTGGTGGTGGACAGGTCGTTATCAACTTGGAAAGATGTGGGCAGTGAGGTCCCCCAAGGCTTGGTCCTTGGAACCGTGCTATTCATTGTCTTCATCAGCAACTTGGATGAGGGCATGGAGAGCACTCTGTCCAAATTTGCAGATGACAAAATTATGGGGTACAGTAAACACACTAGTGGGAAGGGATTGAATCCAGGCAGACCTGGACAGATTGGAAAAGTGGGCAGAAAAGGATAGGATGCAGCTCAACAAAGACAAGCGCAAAGTGCTGCATCTAGGGAGAAGGAATCACCAATGCACCTATAGGCTAGGGGATGACCTTCTCAGCAGCACAGTGGCAGAAAGGGATCTTGGAGTCATAGCTGACTCCAAGTTGAATATGTGACAAAGTAATCAGTAAAGCCAACTGCACTCTATCATGCATTAGCAGGTGCATCATGAACAGGTCCAGGGAGATACTTCCCCTCTATGTGGCACTGGTCAGGCCACAGTTGGAGTACTGAGTCCAGTTCTGGGAGCCAAACTTCAAAAGGGATGTGGATAACCTTGAGAGGGTCCAGAGGAGGGCCACTTGTATGGTTAGAGGCCTGCAGGTAAGGCCCTACAAGGAGAGACTGAGGGACCTGGAACTCTTCAGCCTTCACAAGAGAAGGCTGAGAGGTGATCTTGTGGCCATTTACAAATCCACTGGGGGGAGCAGCAAGAAATAGGAGATGCTCTGTTTACCAGGGCACCCCTTGGAATAACTAGGAACAATGGCCACAAACTGACAGAGAGCATATTTAGGTTGGGCATCAGGAAGAACTTCTTTACAGTAAGGGTTGCCAGAATCTGCATTGGGCTTCCAAAGGAGGTGGTGTTCTCCCCTACCTTGGGAGTCTAAGAGGAAACTGGACAAGCACCTGGCTGGGGTCATTTGACCCCAGCGCTCTTTCCTGCCCAGGACAGGGGATCAGACTCAATGATCTATTAAGGTCCCTTCTAACCCTAACAACTATGAAACTCAGTTGGTATTGATCCAGCCACAGGAGGAATTCTGGGGGAAGCCGGTGGTGAAAGCTCAGCAACACCAGTGCCTCTTTGGGTTGGGCAGTGCTGCGAGGTGTCTATCTGGGTACTTAAATGGCCCTCCTGCCTGTAGCACCTCTCAGCATCTCATGATTCTTAGTGCATTTAACCTCACATCACCTCTGTCAGATAGGGAAATGTTACCCTCCTGATCCAACAGATAAGGAATTCAGGCATGGAGAAATTAAGTGACTTGACTAGGATTACAGAGAAAGTCAGTGGAGGAATGAGGAACTGACCTGACTTCTCCAAGCTTAAGCTAGTGCCTTAACTACTCCCCTTCTGGTTATGGAAAGGAACAGAAGATCTTAATATCAGATCCGTACAGAACCAGCATCAACAAGATGGTGATAGCTGGCACTTCTAGAGCATCCTTCTTCCCAAGACCTATAAAAGCTTCCCGAACAGGCACACAGCCATACAGCAAGCAGCTTTGCATTTTAAATCACCCCATTTTACAGACTGGCAAACACTGGAAGGCTGAGAAACATGCCCAAGGTCACAGAGACAATCGGGAGGAGACGACAGGAGCTCAGGCCCTGATATAAGTGCCACCCGGCTGCCCCTACCCCAGAAGAACCGCACCAACCTACCCAGTTTCATGAGGCAGGCCAAGAGTATCCAGAGCGAGATCTCAAAGGGGATCCGGATGCGGGCATAGTCAATGCCCAGGACGGGGAAAGCTTTCTCAGGCTTGCTGTGCCCATTGCCTGTGTGGTTACTGGAGTGCTTGCTCAGAGGGTGAATCTCCTCTGAGATGCCAGGAGGGGCAGACGTGAAGTCCCCTGGCTCGTTGTCCCGGACCACTGCTGGGTAGTGGTGGGGTGCCTCCGAGGCCAGCATAGGGTTTGGCTGCAAGCCATGGCTGTGAAGCAAAGGCAGGAGCCCCAGCAGGGCTGCCACCATGAACACGCTGGGCAGCTTGTGGAGGGTCGGGACCCCCAGGCAGCCTGTCGCCCGCATCTTCCCTTGGTCCTTGCACAGCGCCTGTTCGGTGCCTCACCGGTAGCCGGTCCCAGAAAGCCGCATGGGGAAAGTGCTGCCAAGGGCACGGAGAGGGGCAAGAAGGGGCCAGCACCGCCCAGCCCAGCTCCAGCCTTCCCTGCAGAGAGGAGGGAGAGAGAGATTAAAGACTGCCACTCCAGAGTCCCCCACTGCTGCCGGCCACTCCAGAGCCCCCAATACCGCCGGCTGCTCCAGGCGGGGGCAGTGTGAGCAGGGAGCCCTGCAAAGGCAAATGCAATGCAAAACACACACTGACCCGGGAGGAAGCAGAAGCAGCAGAATCAGCCCAGGCAGGGGAGGGAGGAGCAAGCAGCTGAGGCTGCAAGACCGCCCCTAGCAGAGGCTGGGTCCTTGGAGAAGGGAGGGAGCCCAAAACAAGGAGAGAAGAGTGGCAGCAGAGGCCCAGCTGTACCTGCAGCAGCACCCACTGGCTGGGAGCACCATTACACAGGCCGCAGCTTGTAGCGTCCCCCCATGCCTCTGCCCTGGTGCCTGGGGAGAGCTCCACTGCCAAAATGCAGCTGCCTCTGGGGAGCAGCCCCCTGGCAGCGTGCAGGAACACAGGGTGGAGGGGGATGAGCTGTGCGTGGCAGGAGAGCAGCCCCTACTCCAGCCTCAGGGAGACAAGCCCCCCTAGTGTCAAGAGCAATAGGAGGCAAGGGTAGATTTGCACCTTGGAGACTAACCCAGTGGTTCTAAAACATGTGCCATGGCACCCTGGGGTGCCTTGAGATCCTTTCCAGGGATCTGAAAAGGTCTGTAGAGAGAAACAGGCACACTGTTGGGTCTGTAGAGAGAAACCCAGAGACTTCAGATAGGCATCCACAGCTAGGGTCTTTGAGTGCTTTGCAACAGAAGAACTGCTCTATTAGTTTTCTGTAGGCAAAAGAAGAGTGGAAACGAAGAGCTAGTATTTTCTGAGGGGTGCCTGAGTCTATTATGGGATACCTCTGATCTAAAATGGTTGAGAACCACTGGATTAACCAAAGTACATAAATATCTATCTATCTATATCCTCAGATGCTGATGACGTCAGCTTCAGCTCACGAAATCTTGTGCTGTTCTCTCTCTCTCTCTCTCTCTCTCTCTCTCGTTAGTCTATAACGTGCAAACCTCCCCTGCCTTCTACGCAGGACTCAGGGCAACGGGCACCTCAGAAATATGCAAAGAGAAGCACCACCACAAAGCACCCAGGGTGGTACCTTGTTGAGTCACCTCCCAAGTAACTTGTGCCCAAAGCAAGCAAACTCTGTCATGTATTTAAGATAAATGCAGCAAGTATGAGCCTGTGGCAGAATCGACCAACAGGCTGTGGATGGGGTGAAAACACGACAGCAAAGCCAAGAGGCACGTACAGTGTGGTTTTCATTTACTTGTCATTCACCTGTACAAACAGAAAGGAGATTTATTAGCAAGGACACCACCAATTTGCCAAACACCTCTGCCCCTTGAGACTGACTCAGGGCCAATCCTTAGAAGTATTTAAACACCAGACAGGCTCTCTTCTGCATCCTAGTAGGCAGCTAAATCCAGTGGAAATCACTACTAATGCCTACTGAAATCAATGGGGTTTTGTGCCAAAGCACCACTGTCTACACACCCTCCACATCTGGTCATTAAGTACAATTCACAAGTACATAGTAGATAAAATACAAGTAGACACATGCTACTGAAGTTATATGGTTAGGTTAGTGTTATGGTAAAGAATGTGACCAGGAATCAGGCAACATGATTCTTATTTCTGGCCCTGCACCCACTTTCTGAGCATCTCTTGAGCATCACATTTAAGGCCTGCCTCACTGAAGTCAATGGGAGCTTTGCACCAGTTAAATGGCAAAAACCACATGCCTCCACTTCTCTGTCTGTAAAATGGGCAGAATGATTTCTTTCTCAGAGGTGAGGGGAATTCTTGTCTGCAGGACACTGAGACATTATAAGGACATTGCAAACCCCTTGGTTAGATAAATCCCTATTGCAGCAATTCAGACCCATTGATTTAGCTGGTCTATGCCTTTTTTTTTTTTAACTAGGTTGCTGCTCATCCATTTAGACAGATGCTGGGAGGAAGTGAAATGTTGGGCTCTTCTGACTAGGGTTAGAAGAACCATAGGGTTAGTAGCACTGCAGGTAGCAGGCATGACATGGCCTCACCCCAAACTGGGGGAATTTACTGTCTTGCAGAGAAGGGGACCAAAAAACTGTCAGTTTGACCTATGATTAGAGAAAAAATGGAAATGAATCACAAGCCTGAACAGGAACAGCCAAATGTCTCACTTCTGCTCAGTTACACTGTGGACATTCATCAGTTATGGCAATTAAGCAAGAAATCCTGAGCATTACATTTCCCAGTGGGAGAGGCTTAGTCACATGGGGCCCAATCCTGCGCTATTACAGTTAAAGGAGCAGTTCACCACCAGTTTGAACAGGAACAGGGTTGTGCCACAGGCAAGCGGAGAAAACAGACACTTATTCAAAAGGATCCACCTGGGCTGGGTCCCTTCCAGAAACAGTGCCCAGAAGCTAAAGTTGGTGCCATGGTTTTTTTGGAATAACTAGGTCACATTCTTCCACCCCCACAGCACGTCAGACTTGTCTGGATCAGTCAAGAAGTGGGTGTGAATTCTCCCCTAACTGACAATCACATGTTTGCCAACCAGAACATGAGCTCCAAATTAATTGCTCACTATTTGGTCAATCATTTCACAAATCATCTTCACCCAGACTAGAGGTAGCTGAGCGATATCCAGTGGTACCTATCCAAAATACTGAAGCACCCCCGCTCCAGAAGAACTGCACCTTAAAGTCTAAGCTTTCGAATTCCAGTCCTACATCTTAGTGAAATGATGTTCCAAGGAGACCCCAGCATTTCCATCAGGGGTCATAAAATATAGGATAGATCCAGGTAAGTCTGCAAAGCGGTCTATCGTTCATAAAGTATCAAGTCTACCCTATCAGGGCTGCTCTGAACAAGTTAGTCTGTAGGATGCTGCCCTGCCCTGATTTAAATCTATCAGCATTGTACTACTCCGGTACAGAAATACACCTTTTGGGTCCTTAGCAATTATCCCGGTGCTGCTTAAAAATAATTTCTAACTCACAGGTGATGCAGATAGTCAAACTATCCACAACTCTAAGACCTACCAGAGATACCCAGAGAGGACCTTAGAACAGACATCACCTTCATACCAGCAGGGAGTCTAATTAAGTTTAAGCTCGTTAATCTGTAAAGAAGGAGAAAGCATGCAGTACAACAGGACAGAGCAAGGAGACTGCTCTTCCAAAGCATCCAATCAAGCAAATCACATCAGCTATAATGCGTTCGAGCTTAGCCTACTGTCTTTTGGAAAGTGAAATGTGCCCTGTGAATACATCAGTCTTCCCTACCCTCTAGAAACATTGTCGGTCTGTCATCCTGCCTCTGGTCTTTAAGCAGCCTGTGTGTTAATGGGTGCAGTCAGGTAAATTCTCTTTTTCTAAAGGAGAAAACACAACCCTGCCCCCAGCACCTCCTACAAAAAATAAACCCATGCTTTCTGTGCTATGACCTAGAACTTACCATTAGTACAGCCAGTCCATTCACCTAACCCAAATCCCAAGAGCCCCTTTTCAGTCATATTCACACAAAAGTCATGCAGAAATCAGATCCAGGTCATACACTGACTCAGTGGCAAATGTGGGACATAGAGATCCTCATGCTGTGGACACGTACTGGTTGTTAGACGGCCCTGCTATAATATATATTTTTTGTACTTCTGTTAGTATATCCTGCATCTGGCTTGTTTCTCTCTTCCCACTGCATTTTTCACTGATGACAAATACCCTACCTTCTTGCCTCTTCATACATTTTCTTGTAGCTTCCCTGTTTCTCTCAGCTGATGGTAACTCAGAAGCTGAGCAGAGAAAAGGTACAACCTTCCCACCCTGATCAAATGATTCTCCTCCCTGTGAACCCCCTGCAAATAAATCTGTAACGGTGCTGCTTCTGACATTTTTGCCTGTGATGCACCCCTCAAAAGACTAAATATAAGTAAATACTGCTCCAGGTAATTTTCTATTTCATTCTAATTTCCATGGCCTACTGATTAAATCACATTATTGATATCCAGTTCTGCCATGGACTAGCTAGGTAACCTTAGGCAAATCACTTCACCCCCTCTTGCCCTGGGAACTGAGAGGCTGAATAAGTAAAAAAAACCAAAACCCAACAACCTTCTGAGATTGTATACAGCAGTAACACTATTCTAGAGGTGCACAGGCTCACTTATAAACAGCATTGAGAAATAATGTATGATGAAGATATAAAACTGGCTTTACAGAATTTCTACATGGTGCAGAAGCTGAGGATGAACGAAGGAGATGAGTTCTCTCATTTAACACACTAAACACTTGATCACATATGGCCCACTTTCCTGGTAATTCAACAACAGAATCCCCAGGAAACGGTCTCATCTGGTTCATATTCTAGTTTGAGTTTTGGCACTTCCTAAGCACATCTTTATGAAATACCGTATGTGCATCCCAAAACGAAGTTAACATTCCAAATGAAAACGTCACTTTGATTTTCTTGATCTTTGGGGGCTTACACACCCAACTCAGGATAACAAGAGTGCATTCTTCAAAGCACTCCGCGTTGAATTCTTTGTTTTTTTTAAAGAAAGAAAGAAAATAAACTGTACATTTATTGAATACAGGATTTAATCCTGTGCTGTATGCCTTTAACCATTTAATTCAAGTCTTGCAAGTCAGGTGAATTTTTAGTCCTCAAGGTAGTTTTATTCCATTCTCCCTACATCCTTCTTAAGGCTAAAAATTCAACAAACTCATTATGCATTACTTGTATAAAAGGCTATGTGTATATTGAGGGAAAAATGTCTTGGTGACGTTGCAAATTCTCCCACTAGTTTACTGTGAGACCAGGAGAGTTTCTTAAAAATGTCAGGGCATGACGTTCAGAGTTGCTGAGTGCTCACAGCAGTCAATGATTTCAACTGGCTTTACAGGTGCTCATCATCTCTGAAACGTATTCCCTGTGCCTCAGTTTCTCCATCTGGGGAACAAAATAAGATCTACATCCAAGGGGCTGCTGAAGCTTAATGAATTTGCCAAGTGTTGTGAGACCCTAACAGGGGCGGTACTACAGAAATGGAAACCACTCCTACCCACCCAAACATCAAAGTCACTGAAAGGAAAGTAATAGATTCTGATTGTATTAAGTGACTTAATATTATGGGACTTTCTCAAGAGGGTGGATAAGTGATATATTAACACCTGAATATTCACTGAGAAAGCTGCCAACTCTAATCTTGGCCTGCATAGCTCAAGAGCAGAAATTGTACCAAGAAAGGCTGGTTACG